AGCAAGGAAACACTGCATGGTTCAAAGCTGGGAAGGGCGCATGCCAGGGATGTGTTCTGTCTTCATACCTTTTCAACCTGTATGCAGAACAGATCATCCGGGAGGCTGGGCTCTATGAGGAGAAATGCGACATCAGGATTGGTGGAAGATCTACCAATAATCTGTGTTATGCAGATGACACAACCCTGCTTGCTGAAACTGAGGAGGACCTGAAATGCTTGTTTCAGAGGGTCAAGGACTGCAACCTTCAATATGGATTGAGGCTCAATGTCAAGAAGACAAAGATTCTCGCCACCGGACCAGCTGGCAGCATCAGGAGGGATGGTGAAGTGATTGAGATTGTTAACAACTTTAGTTTGCTTGGCTCCTCAATCAATACTCTTGGCACCAGCAGCCAGGAAATAAAAAAACATATTGCGCTGGGAAAGTCTGCTGTTAGGGACCTTTCTAAAGTACTCAGGAGCAACGGTGTCTCTCTGCAGATTAAGGTGCATCTGATACAGGCCATGGTCTTTGCAATCACTTGTTATTCATCAGAGAGTTGAACAATGACTAGGGAGGATAGAAAGAGAATTGATACCTTTGAGCTTTGGTGTTGGAGAAGAGTACTGAGGGTACCATTGACTGCTAAGAAAACAAACAGATCTATCCTAGAGAGGGTTAAACCGAGCTGCTCCTTGGAGGCAAGGATTCTGAGGCTTCGTCTGAGATACTTTGGTCATGTTGTAAGGAGAGACTGGTTCTTGGAGAAGGACATCATGCTTGGGAGGGTGGAGGGACAGCGCAGAAGGGGAAGGCCCTCTAGGAGGTATATTGATTCGGTGACTGGGGTAATCGGGATGAGTGTGTCGGAGACACTGAGATTGGCAAAGGACAGAACAGAGTTTAGGGCTGTTGTACACAGGGTTGCTATGAGTTGCAAACAACTCGATGGCACATAACGACAACAACAATAAAAAACAAAACCCCAAAAGAAACCAAAGTGACTGCCCTTCAGTCAGTTCTAAGTTATCCTGGCCCTATGGGGAGGGGGAAGCAGAGTAGAACTGCCCTGCAGGGTTTAAGGAAGCAAACTGCCACATCTTTCTCTTGCGGACTGGCCAGTGGGTAAGAACCCTTGACCTTTCAGGTCGCAGCTGACCACTGTAATCACTGCACCATCAGTACACATTGTTTATAGAGGGAGCAGCTGCTCTGAGGGAGAAATGCGGCAATCTCTTCCTGTGTGATTTGTTGTTGTTACAACTCACTGCGGATCTGAACCCTGCCCTGCCCTGCCATGCCCTGTACCACCCCCACAATCTCTATCATGCCCCCGCCTCTCTCGGCAATCCCTGTCCATCCATCTCGTTCGTGGTCATCCCCTCTCTCCCTGACCCTCTACCTTTCTTTCTCCTCACGATGTCTCTCCAAGGACTGATTCCTCCTAAAAACATGTCCAAAGTGGTGAGATGAAGTTTTACTATCCTTGTCTCTAAGGAGCACTATGGTTGTACTTCCATCAAGATACATTTGTTTGTTCTTTTGACAATGCACTTTATTCACAGCTGTGCGATTTACTGCCTCTGGAAACCCATTGGAGGGTCAGTTTTAAGTCCATTCTGATTCAGTAGTACACAACAGTAATATTCAAAAAAGTGACTAGCTGGCTAGATACCCATTGATCTAGTTGTGTCACTGAATATGGTCTGATGGCAAAGAGATAGTCAATTTTTTCCAACAAATGTTTCCTGATCTCATCGTCCCTTGCCTGATTCGATTGCTGACATAAACTCCTAACTGATTTATGTTCTTACATTTATGTCTCCTCAAGTCTACAGTGCAGCACACCACCTGCAAACAGGTGTCTGATCCCTGTGTGCTAGAATCTTCATGGTCTCCAGTCACAGTCAGGATCAAGTGGAAGCTCAGAGTATGTTACGCAAAACCTGAGAAAGCTGATTCCACTCTCCTTCCCAGCCTAATCTCTTTGTCATTCTGCTTGCCACTGCAGATTTGACCTCTATCAAACTGCTTTTTAGGCTGTTACAAAATTTTCAGGCTCTTGCCTCTCCAGGAATAATGCCCTTCCATCCCACGCCTTCCAGCTGAGGTCTGACTTGCTCCCAGGATCCCTATCTGACTGCCTGCTTGTCCCAGCAGGGCAGAGCCCTCCTCTCAATACCAGGGTCATAATCCTTTCCACCACAATCACCTCTAGAGGCACTAGAGTGTCCGGAAGTGTGAGCATGGCACAGAACAGGACACAGTTCAGATCTGTTGTTCACAGAGTTGCTATGGATGTACTCGATCAATGATGCCTCTCATTATCAACAGCAACAACTGTGGACTCTATTCCGATGACTACTTTGTGAGCCTATATATGACAGAGTAGGACTGCCCCATAGGGTTTGTTGTTGTTGTGAGCCGAGTTGCCTCTGACACAGAGTGACTCTGTGTGCAACAGCCCTAAACCCTGCTGTACCCTGTGCCAATCTCACTGTCTCTGACACACCTACCCCCCATTACCCAGTCACTGAACCAATCCATCTCGTTTAAAGGTTATAATCTTTAAAGTAGCAGGTTGCCATATCTTCCTTCTGTCAAGGGCCTGGGGGATTTGAATGGCCAACCTGTATGGTCATTGCTTTAACTACTGCACCAATAGTGTTTCTCAGTGACCTTAGCATGTAGTTGTAACCATATTTGGTCCATATCAAGTCGGAGAGATTGTGAAAGGGCAGATCTATTTGTTATTATCATCTTTATCATACTGTTACTTAACCAGATTCTTAGAATGAAGCTAAAACCATACCAAACTTTTTGCCATCAAGTCAATTCCATCTCATAGTAACCATATGGGACAGAGTCAAACTGACCCACAGGGTTCCAAGGCTGTAGTATTTATGAAAGCAGACTGCCATATCTTTCTCTGTGGAACCACTGCTGGATTCGAACCACTAGCCTTTCTGTTCACAGCTGAGCTCTTACGCAAGGGGACCACTAGAGCTGCTAGAATCAAGAATTTTCATTTTTAGGGGCTGTTGAGTGGAGTACAACTCATAGCAACCCCACGAACAAAAGATCTGAACCCTATTCTATTCTGTGCCATTCTCATAATCATTTGCATCTGTAGGGTTGGCACGAGTTAGAGCTGGTAACAGTGACACTCTGTATGGATTTCATCTCACAGAGGCTGTGTAACTCCTCAGATACTGATGGCTATGAGATCTGAGCATGGCACAGAGAAAGTAACTTCTCTCAGGGAGTAAAAAGACTTGAGTTCTAAACTCAGCTCTGCCTCTGAAAAACAGACCAGATAAAAGAAAGCGTCACACTATGGGGGTTACAATTACCGGTAGTTAGTTTCCAACTAGCGTTCAGTAACATTCTCTCACAAAATCCCCCTACCTCTATGAAGTAGGAATTCCTTTGCTCAATTTGTGTACAGAGAGATATTGAGGCCAGAGATATGGTGTCAGATTACTCATTTTTAAGGTAGTGGATGGTGGTTTTTGGTAAAAGTCTACACAGCATGTTAGGCTCCCAGAAGAAACTCAGAAGATTGCACTGGAGCACAGAGAAGCCAAAGCACGAGGAAGAATTCAAGATACTAAAGAGCTGAACAGAAGATTTCAAAAGGCAGAACAGGATGACAAAGTAAAATATTACAATGAAATGTGCAAGGAGCTGGGGTCAGAAAATCAAAAGGGCTGAACTCATTCAGCATTTCTTAAGCTCAAGGAACTGAAGAACAAATTCAAACCTGGAGTTGCTATAATCAAGGATGCTTTAGGCAGAATATTAA